AGGGAGTGGGGAGCGTGTCCCACCAGCCAGCATCACCCTGTCCTTGTGTGCCAGAGCAGGGGGGGCAACCCCATCCCTCTGGTGGGTCCGGGGGGTGTAGGGATCCCCTCCTCACTTCCTCCCCGGCTGTGGGTCGCACCGCCCTGGGGCAAAGCTGCTGCATTTGAAAGGTCCCCGGGCTTTGAAGTGGGTGGCCGGGGGTGGCAGGGGAGGGCTCACACCTTGCTGACATCTCCTTTGCCAGCCCGTTCCCAGCCCGCCACCCGCCCCGGCCCGTGCCGCGGTGCTGCCGGTGGGTGGTACGGCACACGGTGCTGCTGGGGGGTGGTACGGCACACGGCACGGCCCGTGCCACCAGCCCTCCACCGCGTGGGAGCCACAGGACCCTCCCTGAATTTGGGGATGGGGGGGAAACCCCAGCTGGGACCCCGCCGAGCGAGAGTCCCCATCCTGGTGGACACCCTCGCCAAGCAGGATCCCTCCCCATGGAGGGGACCCCACAGAAGGAAGAAGGGTTGTGGCATCACAGGGGTTTTTTTTTTGGTTAATTTATTTTTCTGCCTAATTCTAAAGAAAATCCACAATGATTTTCCAGGAAATAAATTGCTCGGGTATAGCTGCCAGTGGGCAGAGGTCGGGGAATGGGCTCTGGGGTTTCTCTGAACCATTTACCACCGGTGACAGCACCCCCAAAGCCCCCGAGTGCAGCCAGCCCCATGGGAGACATCCATGGGCAGGGGACCCCCCCCGGTGCCCCGGATCAAGGGGTGCACTGGGCAGGATGGGAGTTTTCCTGGGGATCTCAATGGAGGTTTTGGGGGGCTTTCTCTCCCTCCTTCCTGGGGTGGACCCCACCACGTCGGGGCACCCCACAATAAAGCTGGTGGCTCCGAGGAGGCAGCCGGTGCCCCGCAGCCTCTCCCCTCCCAGAGGAAACGGCATCTCGCAGCCCATTTCTCCTGGTTCCCATCTTCGTGTGCCTGGCTTTGATTCGCGGCCGAGCCCTGTGATAATGTGGCTGCCTGGGAAGGAAGGGAGTAGAAGGAACTGGCTATTATGCTTGGCCCCTCTCCAGGAGGTGTTTTTTTGCTGGGAGGCACCAAGGTCAGAGCTGGGTGGGAAGCGTTCCCCGACAGCAGCCCTCACACATGTGCCCGGCCGTGGCCGGGGGGGACAGAGGAACCCCCACACCATCCCAGCAGCGGGGTTGCCATCCCGGCTGCCCACAGCCCAAACCACCCTATATGGGCCCAGAAGATGCGTGGTCCTCTCTGCGTGCGGGTTGAGTTTTTTGGGGGGGGAGGGTAGAGGTAAGAGCTGCTTTGCAGCTGCTCTGTGAAACGAAACATCTCCAAATCTTCCTGTTTCCACGCGGAAGGAAAGAGGGGGTGGTGGGTGGGAGCGCCCGCCAACAGAGACAGCAGCGAGGGCTGGGATGCAGCAAGCACTTGGTGTTTTTGGTTTTTTTTTTGGTTTTTTGCCCTCTTTGTGTAATCGCTTAAGAATTTCAGCTGGTTTCAGCCTGGCGCAGGAGCTCCCCAAGTCCCGAATCCCATTGCTGTGAGAACAGAGCTGGCACTGAACCATCCCTGAAACTACCTGCCGGTATCGGTGGCATCCCAGGACCCCTGCAAGCCAGCCCCCCCTCCCTGGGGGCCAGCACAGCGAGAAGGGGCATGCCCGGGTCTCCGGGAGTGATGACTCCCCAAAAACCTGCCCAGAAACCTGCACGGGGCGAGTGTCCACACGGCGTGATGTCTTTTTTTTGAGTGCTTCCCCTGGGAGAGGCAAATCCTGGCGGCGCGGAGCCGGGTGAAACTGCGGGGATGCCAGGGCAGCGGGGATGTGCTCGGCGTTGTGCCCTGGTCCAGGAACCCAGTATCAGGTTCATGCCCGGGCTTGTGAGCAGAGAATCACGCCTGGCTTTTCGCTGCTGTGAGCCATGGATTTCAATTATTTCATGTAAAGATCAGAGGAGGCCCGATCCCGGCCCCTCCACACGCTCCGGTGAGCAGTGTCTTTGCTGAGAGGGTGAGAAGTTCTGTTTTGCCTCCGCAGGAACAGAAGGAATGGAAGAAAGAGCCAAGAAACGAATATTTTGGAAAGAAGACACCCAAAAATGCAGGGTCAAATGCATCCCACACGTCCCCAGGGCTGGGGACCAGGCTGGGCTGGGGTCTGCCCTTTGAGAGAGCTGGGTCACTCCCCACCTCCCCTGGGCAGAGCCACCCCCACCCCAAAAAGGTCCCTGCAGTGGTCCCCAAGGGATTGCCCTGATGATGGAGGGGAGAGGATGGGGACGTGCAGGGTTTGCAGCCCCCGGGTGCAGGCAAAGAGTAAGAACAAGCCTGAGGAGGACAAGGACACGCACCGAGGGACCAGGGGGACCCACATCCCGAGTGGGTGGGTGCACCCGTGTCCTGGCACCCGCAAGGGAGCAGTGCAGGGATGGGACGGGCTTGGGGACGGGCACAGTGTCACCCACAGCTCCATAAACCCCATCAGCCTCTGTTTACACAACAGGGAATGTTTCAGTTGGTTTATGGAGGTGGATAAGAGCAGCTCAGGGGCCAGCGAGGCCGGGGCCGGGCTGAGAGAGGCCGGTCCAACACCTGCTCTCCCTCCGCAGCCCATAAAGATGTTTTATTTTAAAACATGACACATTTTATAGAGCAATAGGGCGGCAGCACCTTTCACCCAGGTACAACCAGTGCAGGGAAATGCGCTCCTCCGGGACATCTCCTGTCGCTAATCCCGTGGGTGAGAGTTACTAAGCTGACTTTACACGCCGAGAAATGATGGCCAGAAGCAACTTTGCAATTAAAACCAGTTTCAGCAGCCTGCGAGGAGGAAAAGCCCGCGGGTGCCAAGCCCGGGTGCAGCAGCCGGGACAGGGCAGGGACACGCACGGCACCAACCTCTGCCCAGGCTGGTTGTCCTCTGTCCCATCCCCACCCCAGACACCCTGGTGGGACCGATCCCCACGGGAGGAAGATCGTCCTCCACGGGCACGTGCTGCCGGAGGCACCGCCGTGCTGGAGGGATGGCACGATCGGTGGGATTTATCCTGTGGCCACCCATTCACAATCCTCCACTCAGCTATTTAAGAAAAAAAAAAAAGAAAAAAAAAAAAAAAAAAAAAAAGGATTTAGGCCATTCTTGCAAATCCAGCCTCATTTCTCCGGTGCCCCAGGGAATCGCAGCTTAATCCCATTATGGGGCAGCTTTGGCTGGGATAGTTTTACATCGCAGACTCCATGACCGGCTGTATTTTTATCTGCTCAGACTTTCCAGGATGCTCTACCCACTTCGATTTATGCTGATTTACCAGAAATGGCTTTTTTTTGAGAGCGTGAGCGAAGGCGCGGGTGCGTGTACCAGCACAAGGAGGGCTCATCCTGCTCCAAAAACCAGGCAGGGGAGCAACACCAAGCCAAGCACAGGGGGGGAAAGCAGGAGAAATCCAGTTTGATGTCTGCCTTATCGGTCCTGTTTTTATTACACCGAATGTATAAGAGCAGAGTATTGATTGTGATGATAAAGAGATGAAAGTGTCAAGAAGGAATAGGCACACTAGTTACTCAAGCGATTGGAAGCCGCGTTGGTTGTATTTAACAGGCATTTGCCATTAAAAAAAAAAAACGCCTGTTTTTATTTAAATAGCCTAGGGCAAATTTCTCACTAAACCAACTTTCCCACGCCAGCCCAGTGCTCTAACTCTGGTTTTTGGCAAATTTTTTCCTGAGCTGTCAAGGCAAAATATATATAAGAATGCTGGTCTCACTTAGGTTTTTTTCCAGCCCCTGGAGACATGAAAATAATTTACAGATGTGCGTTACCTGTTTATATTTGTATTAAGTTTTGCTTAACGGACATAATTTTCTTAGCTTGCAGTAACAAAAAAATATTCCCAGAGTTTCACTCATTTAATTTTAACTTATTAAAACTTTTAAACATGTGTGGAGGTTTTATGTTTTTAAATCACTAATCACATGGACGGTTGCCAAGGTTTCTATTAAAGCCTTTTATGAACGCTATTTTTAAGAGTACCTAAAATCCCATTATTTTTAACCCCTGAAGACCACTCAAAATAAAAAAAAAACTTTCTTTGGATTTATGTCATACTCACCTCCAATGGCAAAAAGATTTATGCTGAAGGCTGACTTTTCCCTTCCTCCCTATTTTTTTGCCTTTTCCTGGTAGGAATCTCTAGGGGGGAGGCGTTTGGGAGAAGGAAATTTGAGGAGGTTCCCCGCCAGGATCTTACACCAGATCCCCCCTGTACCAGGGGAGGGATGGCACCAGATTAAAGCGGGGCATCTCACGGCAGCGCCCGGCTGGAGGAGTCTTCCTCGCACCCACGCCGTGCCCCCGTCCTGCCCGTGGAAAACCACAGTCAAGCCTTTTACCTCCCCCACGGCAAAGCCCTCCCCGGCGCAGAGCTGCCCCACTGCTGTGGGGTGATGGCAATAAGTAGATATATTTGACTTCTCGTGTTCTGGGGGTGAGGTGGCACGGCCACACGGCCACACAGCCGCACGCAGGGATGTGTTTGCATTTTTCCACCCGTGGGCAGACCCTCCCCACCGCCCAGGAAAGCCAGGGCTCCCATGTGGCTTCCCAAGTGCTCTTTTGGCCCCAGGCTTGTGGGTGACCAGCACCCCGAGAGCAGCCGGTGCCAGGGACACCCCGTTACCCACCCAGTCCCGCCACCGCATCCCACCACACCGTGTGGCACTGGGCATCACCGCCCCTCTGTCCCCAAATGGCACGGACACGGCAGGGACCCCAACGGCCCTGTGTAGCCCAGCATGGCCAGGAGGGTCTGGTGGAACCTGGGGGGGCTTCTCTCCAGTTTCGGGGAGCAAGACCCCGAGCGCAGCCAAGCTGAAGGCGCCGTGCTTTCTGCACAAGGAGAACAAGCCCGGGCAAAGGCTCAGCTGGTATTTCCAGGCAGGTAGAGCCGAGATGCTCCCTGCGCGGTGGGAGAAAGGGAGAAGATGGAGAGGAAGAGAGCAGAAGGCTCCATCTCCAAGGAAGCCCAAGTGGTGGAGACCCCAGGCTGCCCTCGCAGCTCCTTGCCTCCAGCTGAGGATGAGGATGGTGGGAAGGTTGTGGTGGTGTGGGGACATCACTCAGCCAGGACAGCAGCAGGGGACGCATCCCACTGCCCAGCTACTACCATCCTGCTCCTGTCTGCAGGGATGAGAACACTGGGGGAGCACCCACGTCCCTGCCAAGGGCAGAAAATGAGTGTGAGGAGCCATTGCAGCCTCACATCCCTTGGCATCTCTCATTTGCTCTTGGAAAGCAGCGATGGCCTGGCCTTGTCCCTGCTCTGCCGTGATGGAGCGAGGCAAGTGGCATCTCCACGAGATGCTTGAAGGTTTCAGCGCGGGGTCAAGCTCCCAATGGCACCCGAACCCCACATGGCACCGTGCTCCCCGCAGAGCCCTGACCCCCCCATGCGGATCGGGGCACCGTTTTAGAGCCCAAAGCACCAAATGCAGGAGGAGCAGGGAAGGAGGGGAGAGCTCGGGAGCGAGGTACCGCTGCAGGGCTGGCTCCTTTGATCTGAGGAGCAGACTCTGCCCTTCGGGTTGTTTAATTGTTTCACACTTGCTCTGGAAATAATTTACAACAGGAAGCGGTGGGATAACACCGGGTCTGCCATGGGATGGGATGAGCCCGGGGGCTGCCGAAGAGGTGCCCTGTGATGAGAGACACAGATGAGGGTGTCACCTCCTTCCCATTAACCCATTGCCGACCCTCCCTCCTCTTCCTCTTTCCCAAGCTTTCACCCAAAGGCCAGCAGCCAGCCCTACACATCCCCACATTTGAGAGCTGTAAAAGAGCCATCCCATGGCCTCCAACAGCCACAGCTCAGAGGGGCTCAGGGGGAGCCCCATGGAATTTAGGTGCCCCCATCCCTGTGGCAGGCAGTTGGTACCCCAAATTCTCTGTGCTCCAAGCTTTTGCCCCCCCCCCACTTTGGAGGTGCAGCAGCAGCAGAGCCCTGCTGTGACACAGGGGACCGGTGTGGCCGTGAGCCTCGCTGAGCAGGGCTGGTCCCCACAGCCCCACGAGGAAGCATCACTCATTGGTGTGAAACAGCCCCCTTGCACGGGCTGTTTCCGGCAGTGGGGCTCTGTGGGTACAGCCGCTGAGCACACCCCCACACACCCCCCCGCAGACACAGCCCTCGGGTGACACCAGCAAACACCAGTTTAAGTGGTTTTATCCCATCCTCAAGCTCGGGGCATGGTTGGGTTTTGTGCGGGGCATCCCCACGCTCCCATCCCACAGGCTGTGGGGCAACTCGGTGTGCCAGGCTCCACCACAGCACAGTGATGGCCATGGGGGGGGCTGGAGGGGGGGTGTGGGTATGAGGGGACGATGGTGTGGGGACCCACAGGCAGCGCCGTGCACACAGGAAGCCTGAGCGCATCTGGGGGTTGTCGAGCCGCTGCCTCCCGGGTTTGGCTTCCCTGCTTCTCCTAATTTATTTGTTTATTTGTTGATGCGGCGCGTGGGGCTGGCCGGGGCCCTGCCTGCAAGTTCATTAGTTCACAAAACAAACAACATCCGAGCGGGGCTCGGCAGCGGGCACCCACGGGGAAGGCGGGTGGGAGAAGGGCTCAACGTGCTTGGTGAACCCCAACCCCGGGTCCCCAAACACACCCTGTGCCCAACACCCCCCTCTGACCCCCAGGAGATGCTCAGCACAAGCCCTGGTCCCCCCCTGCAAAGGTCACACACATCCCTGTGTGTCCCTCCAGGTTTTTGAGCCCGGGGGGGTTAGACACGCTGTGGGTCAGGCTGGGGGTCTGTGGTCCCTGAGCAGGGGCTGTGTCTACAGAGCTGTGCAGGGGCTGGGGGGGGCACTGGGGGGGGCTCTGCAGGGCTGAGGGTGGTAAGGGGGCTGCA